GCTGCGCTTTAGGTCAGTGCCGGCATGACTTCAGATCACTCGTTTCTGTAACTATAGGCTGTTTACAGTGGGTTTCATTTGATGGCATTGCAAAGCGTAGTATACGGTGACCTGTTCATAAGCAGTCAGAGGGGAGCAGGGTAAGGTAGTATTTCCACTGAGCTGAATGGATTTCAGTGTGGATCTGTTTTCACTTCAGTAAATACATCATCAAAGCCCACAAGCATGAATACCATCTGCTTATTTCGTAAATGATCTCATGAGTCCATATTATTGTTGTTTATTATGCATTTAAATAACAACAGTGCCCAATGGGGTTTATAAGATGCTAGATACCTGGTAGACCCATGGCACAGACACAGCATCTATCCCAAGGAGCTTGCGGTTCACAGGCTACAGAATACAGGTGACTAAAATGGAGGGACACTGGTAGAGGACTGGAACACCTGATTTACAAGTCAGCATGAAAAATATGATCACAACAAACCAGATTTTTAACCATTGCTTTTTTTACTTCAGAGAAGAATTTGAAGATGGGATCTACAGGAAGATGAGGAGTTGGCCTTGCAAATCCTTAAAGCAGCTTGTATGATGCATAAGGGATAAAGAAAGCAGCAGGGTCCTTAAGAGGAGATCAGCAAATACTATACCCTTTGCAGAAGAAAAATGGGGCTTGCGATCTGTCACTGATGCCCTCTAAGGAGGGGCAGGTAGGCAAGGATATAAGGGATTAAAGCTTTAGAGTAAACAAACAGAAGGTATTTTTTTAAGCTCAGCTAATTTATTTCAAAGGTTAACAATGCCCCACAGCTAGCAGGAAGTTGGGTTTTTGATGAGATTAAAAATCTGCGTGTCTTCTAGTAGGAAAATGTTACATGCTTGAGATAATTACAGCATGCTGTTATGTTTCTGCATGAAAACAAAAGACAAGCAGTTATTGATCTAAATATTACTTGTTACACATACGCTTTTTAAAAAATATGTCTAATGTTTGTGTTTGGTCAGTTCATCTCAGTTGAATCAAACTGGAACGTTTTATTTTAACGATGCTACTGCTTCTGAGCAGGCAGAGTGAACAACAAAGAATGCAGTTAGACATAAGAGATCTGTATAGCCAGGGATCATAATTATGATCTGGAAAAAGTGTTCATAGTTCTGAAATGACCTTCCATAGCAATGAGAAAAGTAAAAACATTGCAACTGCTTCTTCTGTCATTTTCAGGTTTCTGGCTACATATGCTGATATTGACTGAACAGTTCCTAAATTAGAAGAGTTGTGTCTTCTTCCTGTCTGTGAATTTTTGACGGATACAAGTTTTAAATAACATTGGCTTCAGCAAAGTAAGGATAGATGGATGCAGAGTTCAGCCTCACTTAATTAATTATACAGCACTAGAAAAAAGCCAAATGTTATTACCTGTCTTCAGTTGTAGAATAAGGTTGTAGAAGTTATCTGTGGAAGAACAAGGGACAATATGCATTCATTACTAGCCATTGTTACAGAAAGGTGTACATCCAGCTGCAGTCTGTTGTTTTAAAACATCATTCTCTTTTGCATGAGTCTTTTCTGATGTTGCTCTCTCCAAAGCAAACCTTTATGAAAGAAGAGGAAATCATACTGGGTGGTTAGTGTGTAAGCTGAGAGTGCAAAGTGCTCATTTTTGCTAGGGTAGGGTATTGTTAAGTATGAGCTGTTTTTAAATACAATTAGCTGCGTTTAAATAAAATACCTTCTGTTCATTTACTCTGAAGCTGTATCCCTAGACTCATTAAGAAGAGCTTAATGAGGCAGAAATCCATTTAAAATTACTTATTTCCATATATATTTGTAATTATAAATTTATTGTTAATGAAAATGGGTTATTCTAGTGTCTATGAGCAGCCTGTATAAGCCGAATATAAAATATGAGTTTATTAATTCTTTTGGGTCGCTGCCAGTATTTCTTCTAGGATTTGATGCAGTATGTTCAGTCATAAGCAAGTGTCAATAGATAGGCCTGTGAACCAGCGTGCAGTGAATTTAGTATGACATCATTGTTCATTTATGGATTCTTGGTGTAATTATGTCGTACTATCCTTGGAAAGCCAAATTTATTTTGTTGTCATAATTTAGCTTAGTTGTAAAGGTTTGTAACAATTTATTCCTTTCATAAGTTGCAGAGAATATAATCCTGTGAAAGTATCTTTGTTCTTGAATGTACTAGGTATTTGGGTGGTAACTAGTTCTACATCTTACATTTCTTGAACCTTATTGGGACATAGTTAGGAGAAGGATCTCTTTGGTAAGCGAAGAATAGCGGTAAATTTGTCGTTTAAATCTTAGCTTAGTGTTTTGGTTTGGTTTTGGGTCTTTATATAGAAAAGAACTTTCTGACAGCTGAATAATATATCCACGTGTAAAATATATATATTTTTTCCTAGTTATTATATTAAAGGTCTTTTAATGCTTATTTTGGATTTAACAGCAGTCCCAGAATATTTCTTGTATCCTCTCTACTTGTCGCTATGGCAGAGACAGGGTATTTTGTTACTGATGTCCAGAAGATAGTTCTGGTTATTTGCAAATCAGTTCTCTTGAAAAGGGGCAGATGGCAGTATGAACCATTTCTTACAAATTTCAGTGGACATGTTTTTGCTGATCCTTTGTGTGAACGGTCATGCATATTTCATGTACATTTAATGGAATGTCTCCTTAAGGAAAGAGGGGGGTGGGTGCTGGGAGCTCTGCCTCTGCTGGTACTCAGGTTTCTCCTGCTTATCAAAGGATGAAATGCTAGGGGTCTTTCAGTACCAAAATAATCTCAAATGGTCTTGAATCTTTCCCCAGGGTGTATTTTTTGTCAGTACTGAAGTTTGGTGTTGCATGCCATTTGGCAGGGACAGGAGTTGACTGGAACTCTGAAGAGACAAGGTTCATCTTAGAAGTTATTCCTTTGTCTTTGGTGTCTGAAACCCTGATCAAAGGATTTTCAAGCAGCGATCGCATCAAGGGAGTGCCTCTAGGTAGCGTCATGGATGCTGAAAAGGAGCAATGTACAAAGCTTTCAGCCTAGCACTTAGATAACAAAGATACAAAACAGGTAGCGGGTAAGGTTATATCTTAGTAGAATTACCTCTTGTGGTACAGATGAAGCTGAAAGGGTACAGAGTGTCAAGGCAAGAATTAGATTTAAATGTTTTATTTTCTCCATTGTCCATACTCCATTGTATGGAACTCTGTCTTCCCATACTTTTAATACAGAGAAAATAAGGAAAGAAGACAGGTAGCAGGGCACACATAGGGAATCACTTGGAAACGTGTCGTAAAGAATCACAGGTGGACACCAGTACTGCTGTGAATGGTGAGACAGAAATGAGGGGCTCTGCTGTGCTAGTCAGTAGAGGTTGCTGTTATGAGACTCTTTCATCGTCACACATGACCTGGAAAATGGAAGGTGCAGCAATGAAATTGCAAGTCACCATCACAAGAGTTAAAGAAAAAATCACTTTGTAAACTGGGATTATTGTTTTAAAGTAAATATTTACTTGACCATGGTGAAGCAACAAGTCAGTCCCCTGAAAAAGAAAAGATATTGACTATCTTTCGTCTGAGATGGTAAAGCTGCCATCATACAGCTCAGAATGAAAAGATTTTTTGTTTTTAAAGTGATGTTTAAAATCTTATATGCTGAGTTGAGTTAAGCCCTTTGCTTTCTGTTGAATGTTTTTCATTCTCCCTTTGCTCACAGCTTACTTATTTTGCTTCTGTTTTTGCCCCTCTCAGATATCTGTGATGAGGTATCTAGCTCCTTACATTTCATGATTTATTGCAGCCTGTTTGTCAGTTTAGCTCAAGACATGATTAAACTTTTTTCTTCTTTTTACAGCCTCAGAATCACTAGCTTGATACGGAATTAATGCCGATTAGGTGAATGAGAAAAGAAATTGCTGACCAGAGATGTGTGTGTAGAAGGGATGAGGTGTTGTTATTAGAATAGTTGTATTGTCTAAATAATAGACATATTCTAATGACTGTATTTAGTACTGATTTCTCTCTTATTCAAAGGACTATCCAAACATTATAGTCGGGAATGTGTCTGCCTCCCAACCATCGTCTTTCTTCCTCCACAGGTGTTTAGAAAAGGAGAGTGGGGAGAAGGCATGAAGAGTTTCCCTACCACAAGTCATTCAGCAGAAGCCAGATGGAATAGCAGTCCTTTCACCTGAAGACCCCAAGTTTTGCACTATGCCAGTGTAAAGCTACCAAAGAAGCATGCACTGCAAACTGGGGGAAGGTGGTTGGGAGGAATAGATGGTACATGATGTTATCTTTCTTGTTGGCTGCATATCTCTAAGGAAGGTCATGACTTCTTTAGGCCTGCTTTTGTAGTCCCAGAGTTGATACACCTCTTCAGCTCTCCCAGCAGTACCAACTTACTGTCTCCATAAATGTCAGAACTGTGTTTCCAGTGAAGGCTGGTACACCTGTTGTAGAAGAGCAATCCTATGATTTGAGCAGTTGATTTTTATGTATGCTTATAATACGTAGCAAAAACTAAATACATTACTCCATTAAAAATAGATGAGTGCGTTGTTTAGTCTTTCATACAATTACAAAATAGATACTGATAGGGGTTAAATTAGAGTAATCAAAATTTAATTAAATTTCTGAGCAAAATAACATATTCAGTGTGAAGGCTGTGTCAAGTACAATTACAGCTTTTATAAGTGAGAAGCAGAAATTTGCCTCTATTGGAAAAAAGGTAGCTGGATAAAGACACCTGATCTGCTTGTTTACCGCAATTGCTGAAAGGAAATAAGAACACCATTAATCACAGTTTCTTTCTCTACAGGGGTCAAGCATGTTCATTTGACTGTGACATAAAACTACTGTGCTTTTCCCTGCTTGGGTGTCTACTGTACTAAACATTTGTGTGCATGATTGACATTCATTTTAAAAGGACTTCTGTTGATTTCATTGGAGCAGGATATAGACCAGTGGGAGTAGCCTACTTAAAGTATGTACCATGGGGTCTAATCATAACACTGGCTCTAGTCAGAAGCAGTACAATATTTTTTTTCCACACAACTGAGCTGATCAAATAAGTTACAGACCTGAACCTGTCCTGTGCAGAGCCAGCACAGTTTCAACAAAACACTCAGTTCTGGAATTCTGGAATATGTATGTTGTACAGAGCCACCCGCGTGACTCCTAATGGAGTCACTCAAAGGTCAACAGAGTTTTCTGCTCTGGTTTTAGGAATGGTACTGCCAGATCCAGGCTGATCCCTGCAGGCACATCCAAGCATCTTTGCAGTTGGTTTCCCATTTCATAGAGCCTGGGATTGGGTTTTACAGGGCATGGAAACAACTTGGATGTAGGACAGCACCAAAGCAGTGAGCCTTTCCATAACTTGCGGTAGTGAAGAGTGTGATGGCAAAGACTCCCCAGTAGCGCTGAAGGAATAAGCATCTACCTAGACACAAAAGGCTAGCTTTGCCGAACACAAATGAGCAAATGGGGAGGAATAAGAGTGCTGGAGTTTGCAGCTGCGTGGGCCAGTGTGTTATGACTGACCAAGCTCGGTGTACCCACTCAGGCTGATTTTGATCAGGAAAGCTCAGCCTCAGCTTCCTGTGTCCCCCTGTGGAGCTGCTGACCACGCATCTGCACAGAACTTGGCACTGTCGTGGCAGTGCGGTAGATAGTGAGTGGTTCTGCTTTGCTGCAAGCCACTGAGCTAAAACCATGCTTGACTGACCTAGACGAATGTTGCAAACTGGATTCCTCCCAGCTGGGGAGGTTTTTAGAGAAGCCGTGCAGCAGGCACTGTGGGAATACAGATCCTACTTTTTTTACGTAAGCTGGTTCAAAGCTGTTTCAGTGCAGACCCAAAGTAATTCCACCACGTGTCTATGTTGTGCTCCACAGCCTCTCTATCTTTGGAGCTTGTTATGATGGATAATCAAAGGCACTGTCCTCTCTCCCTGCCATGTAAAGGAATTAAAATCTATTCTCTGCTTGGGGGCTGCTACATCCCATCTCTCTTCACCTCATAAACATCCTTGCAATAGTGATTGGTACTAGACAGGTGTGCTTTTATAAATTAATCCAATTTCTTTCATTTCTGATGGGAAATTTTGGTGATAATGTGAGGACAGTCCTTTAGACAAGAATGTGTGAATATCTTGTAGAAGCTGAGTTCTCCATATTTTCAATAGATGACGTATTTAAAATTTTCAGAGTATTGGCATAAAGCCTCACATTATTATTAAAAAATGTACATGAATTGAGATGTGGCTCTTCCTACTGGTTTGATGAACACTGTGAAGGGTCATTTATTATTCTCTATGTATCTGAAGGACTCTCTGCCTCCAGTCACTGTTGAGTGTGCAGGCATAATCAGGCTGCATGTCACTTTTTTGCTTCTATATGGATGACTTTCAAAATAAAACTGTTACCACAGCTTAAAGCCAAAACTTTCACCTTGAGCCGTAGTTCCTATCATTTTTTTCCCCTTAGGCATACTCATATTTAGGTGGTCAGGAAAGGATGCACACAAATGATAGATCATTAGGAAATTCTCTGAACAGCAAACCTCTGAAGTCATCCCAAGTGCTCTTTACCATGCATCGTGATAAAACTGAAGAGACTGAAGGTAAAGTCTGAAGAGACACTAATTATGTGCTTAGTCTGTCGTTTATCAGCTGCTGGAGATGTTACTCCCAGAATACAGCAACCTCTTTTGCTGCATAGTTCAACAAGCTTGCCAAATTTCAGTGAGCCAAACAGGGTTGACAACTTTTGGAATTTAATTCCCTCACGACATTTTGATGTAAAATCATTGCATTACCATACAAACAAATATCTCATTTTGCCATAACACAGCATCATATAAAGGTACAATAATGTTGGTCTGTAGTCTTGTCTTACAATTATATTTTGGGAACTCATTTAAAAAGAGCAAATCAGTTGCTGTAGGAACTGTAGGCATTTTATTGACAGTCAGCCTTTAGTTTTTGATAGTTTGTCTCGGTTAATACACTACTACGTATAATCCTTTCATGATTTTAACCAACAAAAGCAGCAGTGATCTTGTTTCCCCTTAGGACTCGTGAAAAAAGCAGATATTTAATGCAGTGAACTAAATAATAGAAAACTAATATTCTAATGAATATTCATTGAGTCAAATGAGATAATAGACCACATGTCAACAGATAATGTCGCTTCCTGCTAAGACTTCCAGTGTGGCTGAACATATTTCAAAGAGCCTTCAGTGTCAATAATTGTTTTTTAATATTTAATTTTCACACTTTCTTAAAGCATAGGTTTTTCAGTGCATGTTTCTGAGTTCACTTGGAATGAGATGATTTCTTTACCATTTGATACCTTAGAAGCACTGCAATGATGAAAAGGACAATTTTCACATAATCTTTGATGTTTAAAGGTGCCAAAGGGTCGCACTTTCTTTCTTTTATAATAGATGCTAAGTAGCTGCTACACAGTAGAAGGAAAATACTTTATCTTCAATATTTTATGTTCTTACAAATGGAAAGAGGTTATTTGGTATCACACTTTCTTAAAAAGACTTTTTATTTCACAGATAATTTTTTGGAACTGCTGGAGGCTTACATATTTGAGAACAGCTGTGTAAAGCAATTACGCTGCAGCTTGGGATATTTTAATATCAAGTAAAGATACTTGATCTTTCCCTGCTACCCTGTTGCACATATGGCAAAATACAGTTGTGTCTCCACTGTGACAGTCTGAGTGGGATTCATATCCAGACTAGTACAATTATATTTTGCTGTCCACAAGTAAACTCCAACACATCTGAGAGATGTCTAAGCTCCCATTATAGAAAACAGAGAAGTAACTGATATATGCTGGTGCCTGGAGAATGACTCAGCTCACCTTCAAGTTGACCTCTAGGTTGCATCTGTACCAGGAAGCTAAACAATGGCAGGAAATATTTTTGGGCACTGTAACTCACTCATCTTTGCTTTTAACAGTTGCTGGCATACTTTTGGCCAGGGCTAACTCTCACTCTACCAAAAATTTCTGGTCCTGGTTCAGGAGTTAACCAGTTAATGGGCCAGAGTCTGTTCTCAAGAGGCAGGTTGCGTGATGCCACCCTGCTTTGGACAATGTGATAGTTTTAAAAATATACACATGGGCGCTCCTGTGCCAGCTGGTGCCAGTGCCAGGAAGCAATCGCAGGCACATTTAATGTAATGCTAGATGTAATGTAACATAAGATGCAGCTTTCTAGTCATTGATCAGCTGACGAGTTCTCTAAACTCCAACAACTAGGTAAGTAGATCTCCATGCTTAGCTCAAATGTAAACACCTGTGTTTACAGGTCTTAAACTAAATCTAACCCTCTGTGGCTGCAGTAGTTTGGTGAGACTAGGCAGCACAGGCTAATTATAGGAGCCCAGAGCTGGAACCATTCTTATTCCTAAGCGGGAATGTGAAAGGGCACAGAGCTGGTAGAAGTTGCTGAGCCGGGAACTGTCCATATCGGCTTTTAAACAGTTGTGTCACCCTGGAATACTGGGCAATACACGCCCACACTGGGCAATACGTGCCCACACAATTTTCCTTTTCTATGCAGTGTTGCTGGTGCAAAGGAGGCAATTTTGAGGCACTGATGTTTGTCATGTTGGGAGGAAGCAGTGACTGAATGTCAAAAAAGACTGTGAGGGATATTTGACATTATTTTTTACAATGACATGAAGATATCCATATAATCCACATTATATATATTACAACCAAGTCTTCTCTTTTTCTGGAAAGGCCTTACACCACTGTTGTCGTAAGAAAATGTTGTGCATTTTGGCAGTAACAGCAAAGTTTGGGTAACATAGAGCAGACTGTTAGAAAATGCATTGCTCCCTTCAGCTGCCTGAGGAGTGTAATACAATTGCTTACCAGCACATAGCAACATTATTTGAGTTGAAAAGTAAAATAAAAAAAATGAAAAAGAGACCACAGGTAGAAATGAGGCAGACAGAATTTGTTACTCTAGCCAAAACGATTGTATTTGGTTAGGGCTCCAGGATAAATACTCTTGCTTATGCGAAATGTACTGTAGGATCTTAGTTATCACAAATGGTCAAGACCTTCAATTTCTCTCTCAGGTGCAACATGAAACTATGTGATGCAAAGCATTGTGGAAATTAGACAACACTGAGCTATCATAATTTTCTTTCATCATTTTACAAGTAAAAAGGGCTGCTCCTGGAGCGCAGTTGAAAGATGTTGCTTTGCTTCATCTCCCTCTTGCCTTTTCTCTCAGTTCCTCACCGTTTGGGACGAGGGTGATCTTCTCTTCCACTAGGGGGAGCACAATGAAAAGTCTTAAAGGCTTTAAAAGTGGGAAGAAGTCCGGAAAGTTTTGTATGGGATAAAAAAGTTTTTAAAGCGGCCGGAAGTTCAAGCACGGTACGGGACTGCATAGGGACGGGTGGAGCCATCCTCATGATGAAAATGTCTCAAGTCAGTTTACTGCAAGGTGAGCTGAGAGGCGTAGTAGCTATTTCAAAACCATCTGTTCCCTGCTGTTACCGGCAATCAG